AATGCTAGGATGGAGGAGAACCAAAATGGTCACCCCAAACGATCCAACCTTTGTGGTATCGTCTAAGCCATGCCAGAGTGCTCAAACTAGAGTAAACTAGCGAGCATACGCAAAACGTAGATATTCGTAAAACAGTGCTCAATACATACATATATCAAAGCCTGGCAAGACTAGCTGACTACTGACCACCATTAAGGATGGTTTCTTCTCTGAGGAGGAAAGAAGTCTTGTAAGATGCATTATGTAACTGGGATATAGGTGGTATCACGATGTCACTACTGCTTTTGAAAAATGGGCAAACTATCTCATTTTTTACCTAAGAGCTCTTGTCTTATCCCTGTCGCCTCGCTCTGCCTCTCCTGAGATACAGAGGCACAGAGATACTGAGTGGTTTTCGTGCCGGCAATCGATTCCTTTGTTACTTCCGCTTGTCCATCTTGAGCATGTTCTTAATAAAGTTAAATATGCGTTATTGACCAAGCGCTTGGTCAAGATGGCTGGATATTGTCCGAGTTATGGACGAACGCAAATGAAAGAACCATCTTGACCGAACGAGCTTGGTCAATAAAGGATTAATTATATGGCAAAAAGATTTCGCTTTAGAGAACGTCAAGTAAGTTGGGGTTTGTGTGCCTACATGACGTACTCAGTACATGAAATTCTAAAAAGTAATAAGTCAGATCATGTTGATACAGGACTTTTCAGTGAGGTTGGCAGTTAATAAAAGGGCGGTTAACGAGAATCAATAACAACTTGTTTATTTCGAGCGTTGGGAAAGGATGGCGCGTGCTCTTTTTTCATTTGAAAATTCAAAGTTTTCAAAACATCACCAATAAAACATATTAACTTCTTTCTCAGGAATCACATTAACTTCTCGTCTCGTTTCCGTGAGACAAAACTGCTTCTATACTCTCACCGTCACTTTGTTATTATTTTTTTTTATTTTTCGGTTTTAAAAGCAGAATAACTTAACGAAAATTGTTTATGTCTTCTTTGTTTGTTGTTTGTTTTTGCCGTCTTCTGCCTGTTTTTGTGACTCCATCTTCTAACCTGTACAGAGAAAGCGACGCAGACAAACACAAGGAAAAGGGCAGAGACATGGACAAGAACAAACTCAGGGAAAGGGTGGGACAGGAACATGGGAAAGGACAGGAACGGTGACAGTGACAGTGACAGGGAAAAGGACAAAGACAGGGACGGGAATAGAGACAGGTACAGGGACATGGACAGAGAAATAAGCCTAAGGTGGGACATGGACAGGGGACAAGGATAGCGGTAAGGACAGGGTTGGGAATAGGAAAAAGCAAGGACAGGGACAGTCACACGGACAGGGTCAGTCACACGGACAGGGTCAGGGAGAATGAAAGGATGGGCACAGGGATAGGAAGAGTCTCACTGACAGGGATAGGGGCAGAGGGACAGGCAGGTGGAAAGATAGTAGGGTGCGCTGCGTGACGAGACCAAACGAAAGCTGCGAAGGAGATTAAGAGAAGTACTATTTAGTTCAAAATAGTTTCACGAAATGATAATGGATCCCAGGAATTGATCACATAGACTTTCACACTTATCATAATCGATTTTGAGAATGAGTAAACTCTATGTTACCTTCATTTTTGTTGTGTGAGTTTTGATACTGAGTTTGTCTTCGTGGCTCTTCCCCACTTACAAATGCTGAATTTTTAGGTGGCACTGTGGTCATATCACTCAGTAACTGAAATTGTGAAGCATTACAAGCCTCTTGAGTAACATGAAGCACTGAACATTTTTCATTTTTGTAACCTAAAAACTTGAATTAAGGCTTCTTGTAAGACATAAATTGACATAACACCAAAAGCACATACCTAGACACAACAATATGTCACAACAATGAATAAATTTAAACTTGTGTCGATACCAAAGAATAGACAAATTACTTATTTATTCTTCCTGTAAGGTCCTGAACATAAATCAATAACAACCTTTCAATTTAAAATAGAATAAGAAGGATAATAAGTTTTAATTTCAGCTCGGTTTTTCGTCTGGTCACGAGTGTGGGGACAAAGAAACTTTTCATGGAGACAAATAGTCCACTACATTTCTTTTTCGGTTTGAACCAAGGTGGCATGATTAAAACAGTGTGACCCATAAAATAAAGGGGGAAAAATCCCTTTCACCGCGGTTGGTTTCTCACGTGATCTTCGCGGGAGCTAGACGAATTTGAATTTTTTCACCCACGACCGAGCACGCGCGTGACGCGCAGCCCGTGTGCGCAGTGGAAATAGCAGGCATCGTCCTTAAACACGTTTAACCTTTAAGTTACAGATTAGTTATACATAGTTTTATCATAATTTGAAAATTCAACTAAAGATGAAAGGGTATTATTGTCAATTTGAGCTTTTGAGATTCCTCCCGTTATTTCCGTGAAAATCCTTCTGCTAGGTGAAACCCTGAAGCACTAAAACCTCCCATTCTGCCTTCGGAAACCGAAAATCCATCCAAACCGACAATTTTAGCAATATGAATAATAGCATTAATAGCAATAATTTAAAATAGTCGTTTCGGAGGTTTTTCTTGTTTCGTTTTGCCGCCATAGTTTTCAAAGCAAGCCACTAGAAACTCTCTTCTATTCGCCCTGAAGTTGGGATAATGCCGCCGAATGCAGAGAGCTTTACTTCGTACGCTTAATCCAGCTTTATCATTGTTTCATTATGTTCTCCACTTACGCCTTCAGACGATTGAGGAATTGTTTCAATTAATCAGTTATAATTAACTAAAACAAGCTGAAGGGGGAATCAGTATTCATGCACATAAGGCGAGTTAAACTCGATCGGCACAACATTCAAACATGAAAGCAAATTCGCTTACCCAGGTTTCACAACTAGCGATGATGTATGTCCGACTTTTACTCAACCAGAGCTGCAGAATCTCCCAATAAAAAGGGAAGTTCAGGATTTGTAATCAGTCGAAGTCAGTAACGCAGGGTGTAAAGAAAAGCAACACTCGTCGTGCGATACACCACAACCCCCCTTTAGTTCAAAAGCGGAAGTTTTCTGCTTTGCATATAAATCACAAGGTACTGCCGTCACTCTTTAAAACGAGGCCATTCTGTTTCTACAGAAAGCCTCTTTTTTAAAACGAGGGTAAATACACTCCTGCAAATATAAATTATTTGTACAAAAAAGCCTTCGCTCTTGGCTTCATTTTGAAAGAGACAGTCCTAGAACTCGGGCATGGTGTATTTGGCTACCAAGCATGTGACGCGTGCATGGATGATACCAAATGAACTAACGTTCGTGGCTCTTTGAATTTTGACAGACGATCACTGTCTTAGTACGTATATACATTCGA